AGAGAGTATTTTGCTTAGGAGTACTTTTTTTACACTTATTTATGGATTAAGAAGTAATTGCAGTCCCTAATTAAAGAAAAAAAAAAAAAGAGTAGATTCAGAAAAGACTAAAAAGAAATGGTAGAGATGGATAGTAGTGAAAGATACAGAACTGAGTGGAAGTTATTGGCCCAAGAGATTATGAATTTTCAGAAGTTTTTATCACATACACCTAAAGTCTAGAGATACTCTTAGTTCATTAAAAAATGAAGATTAATAATCTGCCAGATGGAATTGCCAGCTGTATGGATTCTCTCCACCTAATTTTATAGGTCAGGCATCCTGCTCTAACGTGTCCTTCTAGACACTATAACTGTAGGCTATTCCCATTTTTATTGATATTTCCAACCCGGAATTTTCAGTCATAAACTTCGCCCATCCTATACCTTTATGTTAAATGAATTATATGTAAAAAAGGTTCACTAGCAAACAATTCAGCATGTGGCAATTAACCCTCTTGGGAAGTAAGTCTGCTCACCTGAAGAAGTTCAATCACAGCAAAGAGTCAGTGGAGATTAAGTCCTGCCCCTTAAGATTTTTTTCCTATTTGCTAAGCTGTATCTACTGCTCCGTTCTGCTTATTTCACTTTTCCATCTGCCCTCTAGAGCTCACCTGTTCTGAAAGCATAATGAATGCCTTTTTATTGTTGATGTGTAATTTGCAATTCCACCTTGTGGGAATTCACAAATATGAGATGCTTTCCTGTTTATTTATCTAGTGCACTTCTTCACTGGTGCTTCAGCACCATTCCTAAGTTGAGGACTTAATTGTCTTCGGGATGATATGATCTCCAGCTATGCAGAAACAAACTGCTGTCTGAGCACACGAGGGAGAGAAATGGCCTCTGGGATCCAGCTCTGGGTCTGCTGTAAAGAGAACAAATCATTGGATTGCATGTGGAGACAGACTGCAGAGGTTGCGTTTCTGTTAAATGCTGTGTAACTGCTCAACGGGAAACATTTTTTTATTTTTTTAAACAATATTTTGACATTAATATGCTGCTCTGCCCTGTGTCTGCTTCCTGGGTCTTCAACCCTTTTTTCTGTTCTCAGTATCTGTAGTCTGTCTACTGTTAATCCTATTCCTATACTGCATCATGAGGACTGCACGTGCCTGTAGCAACTTGTGAGAACATCGTGCTGTCTTTAGCAAGGCGAGACTAGGAGACATCAATGGAACACAACAGCAAAGTCAAGAGAAAACACAAAACTTTGTTGTTGCTGGTGTGAGGACTGTGATTTTGAAAACCGGATAGCTTTCTCCTTTCTTTTCCTTCCAGCTCATTCAACTGACTTTTCATTACAGGTATAATTGACTGAACTTGCCCACTCTGCATCATAAGAAGAAGAGTGCAACATATTGGAAATATCTTGAAAAATCATGATGTGTAATCCAATGAAGTGATGGGCAGCACAGTTCCAACTGCTCAGGGTAGGCAGAACAGAGAAGGGAACACATGGGTAGATGAGTTGCTGGGGCCAGTGGGTCAGGGGATGACTCCTACACCACAACCTGCAGGCTGCCCGTATTCCTCAAGCCCCAGTAACTTTAAATTATAATCTGAACTCCCGAGGCATTACAGCTTTCCCTCAAAAGAGGTGTTGTCTTAAATATTGTGCAAAGAACACTATAGCTACTGAATTTATGTCCTTACTTATGAATAAATAAGAGACAAAATATTTTACTGTCTTCCTGATGGGAGTGCGAGAAAATATTGCTGACCATCTGTTTGGCTGTCTGAAAAATAAAATATGTCACGGGGATGAAATTTTATGTTGTGCTTCATAATATTTTTAACTTCTTTGTGGGCTTTCTGTGTATTTGTTTACATTTGGCAAAGTTGTTGCAAAGCTTTTGCTGTATCTCATTATTTTTTTGACATTAGCAAAAGCTTACTGAAAACATCTGCAGAGTTCTTCTGATCAGTTCTAGAGAACATTCGACTACACAGTACTAGTTTGATACGAAAAGAAATCACCTGGCTTCTCAGTATAATTAAGTGCCCACAGAAAACAGTTTTATATCCATTCACACACCCACTGACATACATGCAATAACAATTATTGTTTTTTCTGGAAATGGCCTCTTGCTTCAAAGTTCAAATAATCTGTAATTTGGAATAATTGCAGTTTCAAATAGTCACCCTCCTAATTTTTCAGGAATTCTCCTACCTTCCTCTTTCAAACACTGAGAAGGCTCTTCTTCTTATGATGATGATTTCTGAAACATAAAGATCGATATTTTTCTTCTGTTAAAGTACACACCAGACCTCCCCATCTATCTACCAGCATGGGTAGATGACCACCATTTGTGTGAGCAGTGAGACCAGGCTGTCCATCACACCATGCCCAAGGAAGGCAAGGTTCAGTCTCAAGCAGCACACGTTGGTCAGTTGTGCAGCCTATAAACAACAGGTCTGACACTTTGGATATTTGTCCTAAAGCAGTGCTGCCAGAGCAGCTGCGATTGCATACTAGAGGTCTGTCCCGTATTTTATGGGTTAGCATCTTAAGGTGGCATTCTTATGAACCTTGCTTCTGCAAAACTGGAAAAATCTATCTTAACTGAACTGTTTATCTACCCCAGAGTTCAGCCCATCATCTCTGGTTGTTGCAATTTCACACTGCTGGCAAATGCTGGTTGTCTGCGTTGAAAAACTGGATTGCGGGAAACTGCCTGTAGGAAAGAGCAGAAAGTCAGCTCCAACCTCTGCTCAGGTGCCCTTATTTACTGCCTGCAGAATCGTTTTGTAATTTTAGAAATTCTTGTTTCAGCCTGTTCGTATTTGCCACCCTGAGCTTTGGATCATTAAATGATATTTCATAGCCATCATCTTGACAGTGTTTCGCAAGTGAGAGAAGAATAGTTTATTCCAGAAACAAAAATCCTACTGAAGTTCAAGAACACAGAAATAATAATAAAAAAAAAAAACAAAAAAGGTGTTTGTTTTTTTTTTTTTAATTGGAAAAGAAATCCACAGAAATACCATCTTATTTACAGTACTGTAAGCAGCAAAAGATAGCTTTTACTCTAAACAGAAATCTAATTATGTCAAGCTCTTCACCGTAGCCAGGACACTGAGAGTAAATTAGGAGACAGGAGGGATGTCTTCTGATGTCTTGGGTGGAAATGTTTGGAACATATCTGAGACTCTGACAGATGCAACTGTGAGTGTCTCGTTCAAAACCAGAATCTTATAATTGCTTTAATCCACTCTGTATGGAAGTATAAAAAAAATTACTCGGGAATTACATAATCCTGACAGACATTTTGCACAAGCATCTCATTAACAGAGGGTGATTTATTGTGTTGGAAGTAGGACAAATGTGTTATTTTTTGTTCTAATTAGATCTAATTACAACCTGCAGCAGCAGTGACACCCAAGCTCCCTGTTCTCTACCAGCCATACGCAATTGTCCTCTATCTCTAACACAGTGTTCACGTTGTCCTGGGTGACTCGGAGAAGACAAAGTTCTTATTCCATGGGTCACGTTTTGTTGTCAGTGAGCTGAAGCCAGGAACCTTCCAGCTGCAGCCATCAGGATCCAGGGCTGGGGGTGGGGGTGAAAAGCAATTTTTGGTAGTTTGCAGTAACATGAAACATGACACTTGCCTCTAGTCTTTAAATCAGCTCACCACCATCTTCATTCACATCACCCCGCTGCACTGTTTTCTTAGACACCGTCCTCCTTTCTGTTACTCCTTAAGACTTCACTGGTCCTCAGCATGACTCCTACTGTGCATCTGCATTACCCTGCTTTTATTTTCAGTAGTTTTTGGCTCATGTTTGCCAATTCATTTATCCTTCTTAGTCCTCATAAGATTTGTGTTGGTTCCAGTAAATGTTCCAGCTTAAGGACTGTGCTTCAGCTCATGTTTGGTGCCTGCCATGGCACATCCAGAAGGCTTGGTTTGGTCTTCCAAAGTGCTGAGTTGTGGGGCTCAGTTCATAATAAAGAAATTTTAGAGCTTAAGGAATGTTACTGAATCGAACATAAGAAATCAAGCGCAGATGTACTTAAATGGTTCAGTCTCAAGTGGGTTAAATACAAAAATTGTCGACAGCTACAATAAATCTAGTTCAAATTGGGGAAAACCGGTGTCTCTACTATAGATAACAGCCTGTGTTTGATCTCTTTAGCTCACACTTCTTTATCTCTAGCCTAAACTGACTGATGTGATGAATGAACCAAACTCTATTCTTTGACCAGCTCCTATTTTTGCCTTAACTCTTACAAGTCATGGAATAATGGAGTCATTAAGGTTGAAGGAGACCTCCAAGATCATCTTGTCTGTTAACCAATCAGCACTGTGACCACTAAACCACGTCGCTCCGTACAGCACCTACACCTCCTTGGAACACCTCAGTGGATGCTAACTCCGCCACCTCCCTTTGCATTGCTTTCTAACGCTTCACCACTCAGGGTCCCACGTCCCGCCAGCGCGCATGCGCAGCTCCGCAAGGCAGCGGCGGGGTACGCGGGATTCGGGGCGGCCCCGCTCATCCGTCACCACGGCAACTTCGATCTCCCGCCCCTCCCAACGGCGTCACATCGCCCTAGGATCCCGGCGCGCGCAAGCCCCGCCTTTCCCACGCTCGGATTGGGCGCCCGGCCATAGCGCCATCTCGGCATAGCACCGCCGATTGGTCGGACGAGGCTGAGGCACGGGGCGCGCGGTACCTACCAGGAGGCGGAGGCAGGCGCTCATTAGCATAGGCACGCCCCCTCGCCGCCGGTCCCCTCATCTCGCTTTCCCGTGAGGGGCGATCCCCGCCCGGTCCGGCTCTGCGGGGCGGCTCCCTCACCTCAACTGCGGGGCGCGAAGGCCGCGGCGGCACCGCCCGGAGCGCAGCCGCCCCCGGAGCCGCGGAGAGGGCCGGGCACGGCGCTGAGGAGCCGCCCAGGGAGGCGGCGGCGAGGGGAAGCCTCCGAGCCGCGCGGGGAGCGGCTTCGTGAGCATCGCGTGGGGCTGCGGGCGCTGCGGTGCTGCGCTGAGCTCCGGGCCTTATGGAGACTGCTGGCTGCGCCGGTGGTGCCTGTGCCTCTAGGGCTCGGTGAGCTCCGCGGTGTCGCGCGGAGCTGCGTGTGACTGCCGTTTCTGCCGTCGCGCGGAAGCCTCTGTGTTTCTCTGTTTCTGTTATTCGTATATTACGTGAAAAGCCATTTTCGGAGCGTCAGCTGACGTCAGAACTCTGGGAAGTGCCCTCACCATGTGGACTTTCCTGGGCATCGCCTCCTTCATCTACGTGTACAAGAAGTGTGGGGACCTCATGAGCTACGCCAACAAGGAGGTGCTGCTCTCCGCTGCGCTCTTCTTCTCCCTGGGCCTGCTGCTCTCCTATCGCTACCACTTCCGTGCGCCCCGGCAGCAGCAGCAGCAGCAACAGAAGCCCCACCTGGGGATGCTCTCCCACGCTCTCTCTGCTCTGCCACTGGTGGGCTTCTTCTGGGCCAAACCTGCTGCGGGGTCTCAGCGAGTCAAGCAACCCGGATCCAGAAAGGTATGTTCAGGTTGGACGTGGTGCCTGAGTTGGGAGGCATTGCCTGCCTGTTGGCCCTTCGGAGTTGGCCTCGGTGAGGGCAGAGAAGGAAGGGCAGGGAGGGTTGTGCTTGCATCCTGTGTGACGGATGTGTCATGTTTTGCGTTGGTTTTTGATGATGGAAGAAACAATGAGATTTTATGAAGGTGAATGCAACATGAATATTCAAAGAAAATAACAAGGTAATGGGTTATTATGCTAGCAGAAGGGTATCTTCAATTGCCAGTCTGCTCTAGACATTAGAAGAACATCGCTTGTGAGGAACCACAGAGAGCTGGGACTTTTTGTCCAAGAGAAGAAAAGGCTCAGCAAGAGATTCTCATCCATGCGCACAGAGTTCTGAAGGTACAAAGAGGATGGAGCCAGGCTGCTCTCAGCAGTGCCCAGTGCGAGGACCAGAGGCAGTGAGCACAACTGGAGCATAGCATGACCCCCTGAACACCAGGAGCACTTCTGTACCATGCAGGTCCAGGTTGTCCAGAGGAAGCCTACTGGAGATATTCTTGGAGATCTCCAAAAGTTGCCTGGATGCAACCCTGGGCCCTCTGCTCTGGGTGACCCTGCGGGAGCAAAGGCAAGGCTGGACAGACCCTGATGTCTGTGCCAGCCTCGGCCATGTTGCTATTCTGTGATCATCTTCCTCTTGTTTCTGGATTAAATGTATCCATTTCGATAGCAGGAGACACAGCAATGTGGGAATTATCTTAAAGTGCTGCTTGTATAACAGTTACAGAACCTGGCTTCGGTTAGCCAGCCCGTTCTACAGTGATAGCGGAGAGCACCAGGCTTTCAGCTGGAGTTTGGCAGGAGCCCTGCAATCTACCACCAGTAGGTGGACATGCATATTCAGTCCATCTCTAGGTCACACTGTTTGGCTCCCTGCCTGGGCACTTCTGGGCCTTTTCAGCTGGGTGCCCACCGCTTTCACAGAACAACTTGAAACTATTTTCGGATGCATGCCCTGTGGGTTTTAATGGTAAAAGCCTGCCTTTCCCCCAGTTTCTCGCTTTTTTTCAAAGTCCTGCAGCTACTTTTACAATCCCTTGTTACATTGTAGCTAAAAACATTACACCATGCGGCCAGAAATCCTGGCTTTTGTATTGTTCAGAGTATTCATTTCACTGACGCCAACAAGTTTTTACTGCTGTCAGCGCTGCAGTGCTGAAGCATTTGTGGAAGAGTGAATTGGATTCACTTCAATCAACTTAATAAGGTTAGAAGAATACATTTTCCAGTTGATGTAACAGTTTCTTTAATTGCTGAGTTCTCTGTGCAGTAGGGATGGATATGTAAGCTTTGATTTGTTACTTTATAGATAAGAATATGTGGCAGTTGTTTTACTGCCTTTCCTAGGAACTCAGCTTCCAGCATATGTGATACTAACGTTGTATTAATGTTTGGCTGAGATCAGGAGGGAAGTTTTAATCAAGTGTGTCTGCTTGTTTCTTTTCCCTACCTGATTTTTTGTTGCATTACTGTATGGGAACTGCTGAATTGTGGCCTGAACCTCTGACTGATCACCTGAGGCCAGCAATGAGTCAGCCATGGGAGCACAGGTGAAGGCAATTCACCTGTGCTGCTGGAAGGGGTGGAGCCTGTCTGCACCTCTCCTAGACCCATTTAAGAGCTGACTGCCAGTGGGGAAGGATCTCTTCTGGAGATCCCTTCTTTTGGAGTTTTCCAGCAAGCCAAGGACAAGGGTGAGCCCTGCATCTGTTCTTTTTGGGGTAATCTGCTTAGCTAAACTCTCTTGTATATTTCTTAATTACAACAGCTGTATATTCACTGATTATACAATTATAGAGTACAACTGATTTTATTTTAAACAAAGCTAACCTGGAAGATGCCATCCATCCATCAGTAGGCTCTCGGTCTGCTGGATGAAAGTAGAACTAGTCCAAAGTCAAACCCATGCAAAAGTTATGGTACACATACATCAATGCATCTAACTCTGGATTTTTCTTTTTACAGGGTAAAATAGAAGTAAATGTCTCAGATATGCACCTGACAGAGGCTGCTTCAGTTACGACATCATTGCCCCAGAATGATCCAGAAGTTATCATTGTGGGTTCAGGTGTCCTTGGGTCTTCCTTGGCCACGGTGCTCGCCAGAGATGGAAGAAAAGTGACTGTAATAGAGAGGGATCTGAAGGAGCCTGACAGGATAGTTGGAGAATTGTTGCAGCCTGGCGGTTTTAATGCACTTAAAGACTTGGGTCTTGAAGGTGAGTGCATTTCAAACTGTGTATGTATATATAGATAAATATAAAACAACAGTTACTGCTCTGAGTTATGCTTTTAGATAAGGCATGCCGTATCTAAAATGCAGGAAAAATGAAGAAATACAGTATCTACAATGAGTAAAAGGAATAATTGCTCGTGTGTTTCCAATCTATCTTTAAGAGTGTGTTTTTCACACAGAGGGTGGTGAGGCACTGGAACAGGTTGCCCAAGGAGGCTGTGGATGCCCCATCCCTGGAGGCATTCAAGACCAGGCTGGATGTGGCTCTGGGCAGCCTGGTCTGCTGGTTGGTGACCCTGCACACAGCAGGGGGTTGAAACTAGATGGCCATGGTGGAGCTTTTCAACCCAGGCCATTCTATAAAGATTCTATGATATTCTTTCCTCAACATATTTTGATTAGGATAATTGGATTTCATGTGAAGAAATATTTTAAATAAGTCTTTTAAAAGCTTTCTTTAACTCATCTGCTGGCTTTTTTTTTGTTTGTTTTTGCAGATACAGTAGAAGGTATCGATGCACAAATGGTGAATGGTTACATCATTCATGACCTAGAGAGCAAGTCGGAGGTAGAAATTCCTTTTCCAACATCTGAAGATGGCCGTGTGGTGAGCGGAAGATCCTTCCATCACGGCCAGTTCATCATGGGGCTCCGAAGGGCAGCCATGGCAGAGCCTAAGTGAGTTCTGTGTGCTGCTCAGTGTCACAGCCTGGATGCTGGGGTGCTGGAGCGTTGTTCCCTGCGTGAGATTCCTTGGCTGTTTCTTTGTGCCCCAGCACAGCAGCTCCAGTGGGCAAGGCTGAGAGAAAGCAACAGCTGAAGTTGCTCGTTCTGTTTTTGTAGACACATTTATGAGTGGAATATACTTCTTATGTTAGCCTTCGAGGCAAGTTAATTTTTAAATTCATGGGAACAAAGGCTTTAACTAGAAGGGGTACTGCCTTGTCCCTATGAGAGAGCATCTTGAGCCTACAAAGCTGATTCTCTTAGGCCTGTTATTGGGTTTGATATTTTACCAGAAGCACTGACCTCAGGGTGCAGTGCACAGAACTTCTTTTGCCAAGAAATGTCTGATATAACTTGGTGTCGTTTCTTTCAGATATGTTGTCTGCAGTGCCAGGAATCTTCTACATTTGCATGTTCTGTAATTTTTTTTTTTATGGCTAACAAGAGAGCAAAATAGCTAGGAAGGGGCACTAAATAATGGGAGAGAGCTACTCCCAACAGTTGTACAATCCTAAAGATGCCTCCTATTCTTAATGAAATAAAGAATGGTTGATATTTCCTTCTATTAAAAGAGAGGAGGAGGAAACATTTCAAAAAACAAATAGATTCTAGATGCTGCTTCTGAAGGGTGTTTTGTGTTTTTTTCCCATCAGTAATGCTTATAAGGGGAATACAGAAAGTACTGTCTTCTTACTTTACACATCTATTCTGAAGTGGAAAATTGCTTTATTTTATCATATCTCTTATATCCTATGAATCAGTAGCACTAAAAGACAGCAACTGTGCAGCACAGTTGAAATCAATGCTGACTGCATTTAATAGCTGTAAAAGCTAAAGATTTCTTGGTTATGGCTTCAACTTCAGTGAAATTTGGGCACCTCAGCACATGAGCCATACAAAAATCCTGTCAGCAGAAATTTACAAAAGCTGATGTTTGAGTCTTGAGTTCAGCCCTTACCTTTCTTCCACTCTTTATTCATTTCTTGTATGTTTTCTTCCCACTGTAATGATAGCAAAGGAAACTGCGTGTTATGTCAAGGCACAAGAGAGATGAAATACTCTTCGTAATGCTGTGAAGCTTTGTTTTTCATCTCAGAACTTGTGAAAATATAGGGAATAATGACTGCTGAATGCTTTCTCTTCATGTTTTAGATAACATGAACTTCTTTCAGATGAGTAAAATCAATTCTGCAGTGGAAGAAGGTGGGGTATCATTAGTTAGTGATTTTTATAGTGGGTTAGAACGAATAGGAAATAAGCACTTAGTTAAATTATGGCTATAAAAGAAATATAGAAGCCAGTAAGACCTGCAGAATGCTGATTCAACTGCTATTAACCTGGTAGGTTGGTACATATCCTTGCTGTTGAACTTCCTGTTAGGCATGTTTTCAATTGCTTTGTTACCTTTGAGGGCCTGAACTCTCAGGCTGTCTTATTCTCATATGGAACTTCATCTCATTTCTCTAAGTTTTTGTATTCCATGTGGATGTGAAAACATTTGTGAAGTAGAGAGGTGTGTTCATTCTGAGCTGCAGGGTCTGAACTGCTGGGATTGTGTCTAACAGCTCAGATCCAACAAGAGGTTGAAGTGGAAAGAGATACGATCTGTGAAACCCAAACAGCCAAAATTGGAGATAGATGCAAGGGATGCTCAGTTTGGAGTCTGATCATAAGTACTGTCAGAGCTTTGTCCTAAACAGGATGGGTTATTGAGGACTATTCTGTGTCAGTTAGGGACCTTGCTTCTACCACGCTTACATGTGAAGTATTGAAGTGCTACTTTGGATCTTGCTCCTGCCCTCTGCGTGGGGTTTCATCCCTTGTGTTCTGTCAGTCTGCTCTGCTGGACAGAGGGAAGTGCTCAGGGGGCTGATTGCTGACTGCTTGTATGTGTCAGACTCGTCTTTGCTCATCTCCTTCAGCCAGGGAATGCCTAAAGCAAAAGCAGGAGTTCTGCTTGGTGGCAGGGTGTTTATGTTAAGCATTATACTTTAGAATAGTCTCAAACATCAAGCCAGATGACAGTGTGGAACAGAGGCTAATGGCAAGCAGTGTTTGACATTTAATGTGGCTTCAAAAAGAGCTGAAGGATCTTTGTGTTGCATTTAGAGAGAATATCGTGGCAGAGACAAAGTTATTGAAAATGACATTTTCCTTCTGTACCTGACACAATGAAATGTTGGCATCCTTAATCCTCCTACCTCCTCTTCTAAATCCTGTTTTATTTCAGTGCAAAATTCATTGAAGGAACTGTGACACAGCTGCTTGAAGAAGATGATTGCATAGTGGGTGTTCAGTACAAGGACAAAGAAACTGGGGATACTAAGGTGAGACAGTTTTCTGTTCTGATCTTTAACTACTGTAAAAATAGAGTTAAGTATGTATAGCATTTAAAAAGCAATGCTACTTCAGAGCTCTGGTGCAGAAATCTGCAACTGCCAGAGAGATGAAGCTTTAATGAAGGGAGATTGCTTCCTCGTGGGTGCAGTCCTGGTGTATGGAAATTCTAGTTGTAACTCCTACTGTTGTTTTGATAACAGTTCAGTTTTTCAGAGGCACTATTGTTTTTGGTTTGGGGTTTTTTTTTTTTTTTTCCTAAATAATCCATATGTTTGGAGCTTAAAATATTTCCAAGTTACCAATGGAAGAAATAATACATTCAGAATCGTGCTTTGGCTGTGTAAAAACATCCATGTTTCAACATATGCTGCCTCTGTTGAGTAAGGTGTCTGAAAGTCAGGAGGTAGGTGCCTGCTCATAGAGATGCTCTGCCCAGTCATCTCTTGGGTCACACAAGGAGAGTTCTGACCTGTTTTAATTTCATCACTGGTTTGATTGTTCTTTGCCTCAGCTAAGGCGAAACGCTGGCTAAATTCTGAGAAATTGAGTGAACTTATAATAGCTTTAGGAGAAACCTATGCAGGTAGAACATATGTACTGGAGTTGTGGATACACTCTCTAAAAAAGCCAAACAAAAACAAAACAAAACAAAAACACTTTAAAATTACTCCTCCAAGAGGGAGGAGGGGTAATAAGGCTGCTCAGGCAAAAGGCATTGCAGTCCCCAGGATGTGCTAGGAGTGGGGAGCTGTAAGACAGCTGAGGAGGAACACCATCCTTAACTCCTTGTGAGGTAGCTGGGAGCTTTATGCATTCATGGATTTCATTGCAATAATTGTAAGTACAGCTTGTTTGGCTAGATTAGTCTGACAGCGTTCTAACCTGTGCTATTTCTGAGAGCATGGGTGTTGTTCTTAGGGCCTTGAGGCTCCTGTCTGTACAGAGATGATAAGCAAATTCACTGAGTGCTGGAGTTCTGTGTCTGGAAAGAGTTGAATTATTTGCCAGCCTAGAGAGCCTCTTTTATAGCAGTGTAGCACCAAGAGGAACCTGTTCCAGGCATGGATGTACACTAGCATTGCTGGCTCACCAAATGCTTCTGTCCAACAATGAACTATTTTCCAGAAGTGCCGACGAAACATGGCATGCTTTTTCCTGAAAGCTTCAAAGGAAAATTGATTTTGTTTTCTGCTCCTGCCAAGGCCAAAGACTAATGCTCATCATAAATCTGCAGTCATTATGTACTCTGATTTAACTGCAAACGACAACAAGAAAGCTGTAGAAGGAATCGTCCATCTCTAAATGCTTTCTAGTTCTTTTCTCACAGTATCATAAAAATAAAATGCTTATTAATAATCTGAAGAATTTTTTCCATGTTTGAAAACAGTGTATGTATTAAACATTAGGAATTTGTGCATATCTTCAAGCTGAACCTAATCCATTTATCTTATTTTTTTCTCTCTGTACCTGTTATTTCTGTTTGTAGCACCTAAGGATGGTGAGAACTGCTCTGAATTCGCTGCTTGTTCTTTTAAGAAAGATCTGGGCACTTTTGGTACACTTTTTACACTAAAATGTTTTAGGCTTGTTGCTTATGTGTGATTCTTTTGTTTATTCCTGCAGAGCATTATGGGCTGAACATAGCAATCACTCTGCTTTTCTGGTCTGTTTTATCCAATTCTGACACAGACCCCGTAGCTATGTTACGTGACTGCATGTCTAGGAGAAGCTGATTATTGCTTTGAAGAACATCTAATGTGCAATTGGAAAAGAGGGCTTGTGAGTTATTTCCAACTGTTATGGAAAAGAGAAGGAAAATGCCCTATGGTTTTCTTTGTCTTACACTGCAGGAACTTCATGCACCGCTGACAGTTGTAGCTGATGGACTTTTCTCCAAATTCAGAAAAAACCTGGTCTCCCAAAAAGTCACTGTTTCATCCCATTTCGTTGGTTGCATTCTGAAGGTAACTTTTGTGTGTAACTTGAGGATCTATATTTCTTCATACGTCTGTAATGCTGTGTTATCTGTTTGCATGCGGCAGCCTGTGCCCTCTTGGTGGTGGCCCACAGCTGTTGGTGCTGCTGTGAGCCGGTGGCCCTGTGATGGCTCAGCACACTGTTGGTGACCTGAGTGTGTTGGCTCTGCTGGGTCGCTGAGTTCCACAGTTCCACACAATTTCTTCTCTTTGTGGCCTGATGTTTTCTGCTTGGCTGCTCCTTCCATCCACACCTGTTGTTCCACCCACCACCCGTAGAGCCTACTTATGTGAACTCACACAGAAGGGGCGTATGGTAGGGCTTTATAAATTAATAAAAGTTGCATACATGGCCTTTTGCAGACTTTGGAACAAGAAATACTTTAATCAAATACAATTGCAGGTAGCATTGTAGAAGTTTACGTAGGGAATGTGTCTATGAAAGATTTAAGCAGTCTTCTTGTTAAAGACAACTATTGATGCTTTGTTATAAGGACTGTCCTGAACTGCAGTCTGAGATGTTTTCCCATAGAATCAGCTGTTCTGTCCATTTCTGTGTCGCACTGAGAAATGCTTGGAAATTTGCACCTGTGGTTTTTTAACTTTGAAGTTATTGGTATCTGCTCTGTCCCATCTCCAGCTGAACTTACTGTCTCAGATTTAGCATATGTGATAGAGTTGCTTTCAGCTCTTCAAATATTTATATTACCAGATTATTTTTTCTAAGAGGATTTTGTGGTTAGAAGTTAGATTAATACCAAAATCTACTCTTAAAGCCAGCATGTAAGTGCATAATTTCTCTGTAGTTGAGCAAGAGAGGGTTAAACCAGCTGGATAACCTGGAGTATTGTGTCTGGTTCTGGAGCCCACAACACAAGAAGGACCTGGAGCTGTTGGAGCAGATCCAGAGGAGGACCATGAAGATGGTCAGAGAGCTGGAGCACCTCCTGTGTGAGAACAGACTGAGAAAGCTGGGGCTGTTCAGACTGGAGGAGAGAAGGCTCTGGGGGGCCTTTCAGTACCTGAAGGGTCCAGTGAGGCTGTGGATGCTCCCTCTCTGGAAGCATTCAAGGCCAGGATGGACAAGGCTTTGAGCAACCTGATCTAGAGGGAGGTGTCTGTGCCTATAGCAGGGGTTGGAGCTGGATGATCTTAAAGGTCCCTTCCAACCCAAACCATTCTATAACTTCGTGATTAGCTTTCAGCATAGCTACTTGAAACTGTGCACCAGCCCAACTAGGCCCAGAGAGAATGGCCTCAAACTGCACCAGGGGAGATTCAGGCTGCATGTTAGGAAATACTACTTATCCAAAAGAGTGGTCAGGTGCTGCAATGGGCTGCCCAGGGGGGTGGTGGAGTCACCAACTCTGGAGGTGTTCAAAGAATGTTTGGATTTTGTGTTGAGGGACGTGGTTAATGAGAGCTATTGGTGACAGGTGGATGGTTGGACTGGGTGATCCTGTGGGTCTTTTCCAACCTTGGTGATCCTATGTTACTCTGGGTATAGGTGCTTTCACTAGTTTGTGTTAAGACAGTGACATTCATTTTTTTTCCCCACTGTTTTCTTATTGCTAAGACACTTGTTCAGAGGGTGAAAATCATGAGTTTTAGGTGCAAGCTAGCAGCTGTGGGTAAAACCAATTGTTGTTTATACTCCAAAAGCATACTTGAGCTGTGTCCCTGCCAGCAGATGGGGTACTCTGTAACCAGCTGCCTGAATGCCTTCAGGATCTGTAAGTTTAAGTGAGAAAGCATGAATGTACGTTGGTAGCTGGTCTGCTGTAGCCAACTCAGGTTGGCTTTGCCTTGCCTTCCACGGCTGCTGCAGTAACCATTGGATTAACAGCAGAAATAAGGGAGAATGAACAAAACCCTGCAGAAATTCTACCAGGCACAGTCTGAGTTGGAGGAGCTTCAGCACTTTCTGTGTCCTTAGCCCTACAATTATCTATCACTACTTGAGTGCCTCCTCTTTCTCTTCTTCTGGAAACTTGATAAGCCTGAGGAGCAGCTGCAAGGTGCTGGGAGCCTGTGATTTTTCCCTTGGGGTTCTCTACACTACAGACTACTGTACTTCATTCCTTTCCATAATTTTCTTTATGGAAGTAAAAATGATCTCATGGAAAGCTTCTGCATTCTTTTTTTTTTTTTTTTTTTCTTGAAAACATGCTGTTTTGAAAGGGAAAAAAATATAATACAACCTATCTATGAAACAGGATTTTATTTGAAGTGCCAGAGAATGGTTTTGTGTATCTGAAGTTTAATATCCCTTCATTATTTGATTTCAATCCTTCTCCCACTTCTTTTGAAGGATGCACCACAGTTTAAAACTAACTATGCCGAACTTGTTCTGGCTAAAACTAGTCCAGTGTTAATCTATCAGATTTCTTCAACTGAGACTCGAGTCCTTGTTGATATTCGAGGAGAAATGCCAAAGAACCTGAAAGAATACATGCTTGAGAGCATTCATCCCCAACTGCCTGGTGAGTCTGGTCTGTTGGTTTGCTTTATCTCCACGTTCAGAGTTTACTGTCTCAATAACTGTTCTCCCTTCTTAGATGACATGTCACAGAGCAGATTATTTGGTTGGCCTTATGAGTTAGGAGTTTGGAAGGATTATGCCTCTGAGAAGAGGCTCAAATGAGTTGTGAGCAAATTATTTAAGGCTCTACCAAGTAAGTGTAACCAAAGAACCTTGGTTTTTGCAGATCACCTTAAGGAACCATTTCTAATAGCAGTTCAGAATGATCGTTTAAGGACTATGCCAGCAAGCTTCTTACCTCCTTCAGCTGTTAACAAGAAAGGTGTGTATTATGAAGTAAAGCAGATGGAGGGAAGGCATTAGAAACTTGTTGGACTTAAGGCTGTGTTCTCATAGATGTGTGTTTGTTGCTGAGTACAGTTACCTTATTCTGTTATTAAAAATACATTTGAAAATGCATGTTGGCACGACTCAACAGTAATGTTTATATTGCTGCAAGACTTCAAATCACTGTCTGCTTCGTTTTTAATTTTAAATAACTCAGTGGGTCGTTCTTTTAGGTGTTTGGTCTCTTTATGAGGGGAGGAAAATGGAGAAAAATAAAAATGGCCTTGAATTTTATGTCTGTTCTTTGACACGTGTGTATGCATAAGGGAATTGAGATTTTTAAATCTGTTGAAGCCGTGCTCCCTTCTATTTCTTGTTCTTTCTCTTCAGTTTCTAGTTGTTGTTCCTGGTGGCAATGAATTCTCAATAAGCTGGGAAACAAAGTACAGGGTTTGAGTGCTAAGATGATAGGATAGTTGTGCAGTAGTTCATTTATCTTTTCTTCTATCTAGGAGTTCTTCTGTTAGGAGATGCGTATAATATAAGGCACCCTCTTACTGGTGGAGGAATGAGTGTCGTTTTAAACGATGTCAAAATATGGAGAAGCTTGCTCCAGGATATTCCAGATCTTTATGAAGATTCTGACATTCTTAAGGTGAAACTTTATTTATTTTGACTTAACTTAGACAAACTTGGTTCCACTTCAGATGATGCAGTCTAAGTTGGATACACCTGAGGGATGTGGAAGTTATTTCTGAGGCACAGCTGTTCTCAACTCTTCAGATAAAAAAAAAATCACATCAGGCATTTTCACTGAGCAGAGCTGTGATTTGTGAGTGCTGTGGCTGTGGGGCAGACTGCTAGGATGGTATCTGATCTGTTCCCACACTGGTATTGTGGTTTTTAGCATACGTTTTGCTCAAGCAGACTGGATTTGAACCATCACCTTGTGCGAGTTGAATTTGGAGTAATGAGCACGTGTACCTTGTTTGCCTGTGTGCATCTTGACAGCACAGCAGTGTGTGAGAAGGTGTTCACATGGAAGTGGCTCCTATCAACTACACAAAAATCTTCTCAACGGTGTTCTGTGTTTCCTAATTTTGTTCCTTTTGCAGGCCAAAAAAGCGTTTTACTGGTCAAGAAAGAAGTCTCATTCTTTTGTAGTGAATATTCTTGCCCAGGCACTGTATGAACTTTTTGCTGCTACAGATGGTAAATACGTGTATTTTTAAATAACTTCTGATTAATTAATATTTGTTGAATAAATATTTCTGGAGGGCATGTGTGTTGGTATGTAAGCATACACACATAGATATATGAATGTGCATGAATAGAAAATGCCCTGATCGAAGGATTTTAATGAGTTAGCTTGAGTTGTCTTCCCAGTTCTAGCGTTGTGTAAACCAAGCTATAGCAACCCAAAGGGCATCTGGAGTTACTGTTTAATACACAAAACATTGGGTAACTTAAATCAATTGTTCTTGTGTCAGCATTCAGGAATCTGTGGCTTCTCTATAAAACCCTGTAAAATCAGGTTGAAATCTAACTGAATTTCACAGCAGCAGCTGCCAAAATGCTGAAGTCTTTGATTTTTTGTATCACTGTTATATATGCTCAGAATTTTTCAGTATCTGTTCACTGTATTTGTGAGTGATTTCAGTTTTGTTTTGTAGATTCCTTACACCAGCTAAAGAGAGCCTGTTTCCACTACTTCAGACTTGGTGGAGAATGTGTCTCAGGTCCTGTTGGATTGCTATCTGTGTAAGTTCAGCATATCTGTAATAGCTGGTGTGAACCAGATCAAGTTGTGAACCTCTGTTAGATTCTGCTTTACAGCCAGTCTGTCAGTTCTGTGGGGAGAATGCTCCATGTGAGGCAGTGATTTTAGGATTATACTGAACTTTGAAGTTCTGTTAGGAGCTTTGAATGCTTTCTTTTTTTTTTAGCTGTTTAAAAATGCCTCTGCAAACTGGAGAGTCACTGGAACGGGTTGCCCAGTGAGGCTGTGGATGCCCCTTCCATGGAAGCATTCAAGGCCAGGCTGGTTGGGACTTTGGGTAACCTGCTCTAGCAGTTGGCAATCCTGCCCATGGCAGAGGGTTGGAACTAGATGATCTTTAAGGTCCTTTTCAACCCAGGCCTGTGATTCTATGACAAATGGGTGGGAGTTAGTGTGGGCCCTTCTGCTCATTCAAAGGGAGGAGCTGTGGAGATGTTTTGTGCTTGACAAGCTGAGAGTAATGATGGATGAGGTCTCCCACAAATGAGCAAAAGGAACAGAGAAGCAAGTACCTGTCAAGATCTTCTGCATGCTCCCTTCAAGCTGGAGAATGCTCAGTAAATTGTTCTTTGAACATGTAAGGATGTGTCCATTTGTCTCTTTGGAAAGAGAGCTAAAGCTGCTGGGGTCGGTGCAGGCTTACCTGGGAGTTGATAAGGACAGATTCAGTCTACTGGCACTGAAGAGAAAGCAGAGGTGTCTGTTGACCACAGTGCAGAATGGAATGCAGGTGTGCAGCAGCTCCAAGACAGGCAGGGCTTGTTCACAGCTGAGACAGCAGGACTACAGCTGCCTTAATCAGAGCGGTTGTGCTGTGCAAAGAGCCCAACCTGGGAACTGAAGGCTTGTCTGTGCTTGTTTTTATCCTGTTTATTTACATGTGCTGTGTCTTGCTTTTTAAACAGGCTATCTCCTAAACCAATGGTGCTGATTGGCCACTTCTTTGCCGTGGCGTTGTACGCCGTTTACTTCTGCTTTAAGTCAGAGCCGTGGATCACCATGCCTCGAGCCTTCTTCAGTAGCGCAGCTGTCCTTTACAGGAGTTGCTCTATCATATTTCCACTTATTTACTCTGAAATGAAGTCCCTCATCTATTGAAGTCCAAGGGGATATGACCAGACAAAGAAAACGTGAAGATCACGATGCCTTGAAAATCTTTGGACGTGTACTGCTTAATAATATTGTGTCATGTTTTCTTCTCTTCGAAATGCGATGTCCTTGATCGGGATTTGACTTAGTTTTGGTTTTGTGGTTATATACATATATATTATATGTAAATATTCTTTTCTTTGCAATTAAAGTTCAAAGGGGAGTTAGCTGTTTACAAGGACCGTAAGGAGGTGTTTGCATATTGCCAGGTCTGTCAGAGTTTTCATTCCTCGCTTCATCCATTGCAGAGTGCACCACTAATATTAATAAACTGGAAAGTGAAAACTGTAAACCGCATGCTGCTATTATCCTTCATGCTTCTTTCTGCTCAGTAGCTCCATAGGCTTCCTTTGTTTCTGTGAAATACTGTAAGAAAAATCCTGATTTGGGCCATTTCATGAGGATTTGCCTCTGTTCTCTTTCAGTTGCAGCTGAGGTACTGTTATACTGACGCTTTGAAGGACACTGCAAATGACTGCAGATGCTGCAATGTCACCATGTCTGCAGCGTTACGTGCTTTTGCAAATGCCACGTGTAGGGCTCTCCTGAAAGTGTTCTTTACACCAGAACCATTTGAAGCAAGTAATAACCAAAGCATGCTCGTGGTGGCTGCTGCACCCAGGTACTGAAAGCACGCATTTTGTTGGAAATTTCTTCCCATCTCACTTTGTTTTAAAAACTGAGTTTTGTTTTACTTGGTTTGTGTGCAAGTGAAGGTTAATACTGCCACTGACTTAAGCACAGCAACCAGCCATCTACTGAAACAACTGGAATGTGGGCTGTTTCCAGTAGGCACTCTTTAACGTTACCTTGGAAGGTTGTGAGAAGTACAATTCAGGTGTCCTTTTAATACTTGAAATATATCTTTTCCTGTAGATACTACAGCAGGCTACTTGAGAGTTTGTGTTTTACTACTGGGCAATATTCCTCCTTCACCACTTTGCTTTTCTTTGTTCTTGTGTTCTTCCATTTTTCCCTTGCCTTTTGTGCGGTTGCTTTGTGTATCACCACGTGGCTGTCATATTCTGGCTTGCCAAACCAGCAGTGTGTCAGTATGGTCTAGAGAGCAGCAACACATTGTGTTCTTTTGTACTTAAAAACTTGGACTGTATGTTTTGGAAATGACAGATTGCATAAGCTGTATATAAATACACATTCTATGTTGGATGGGGGGAAGAAATCTGTGGAAAAGATTTTTTTTTTTTTTTTTAGTGTTTTATTCAATGGAGGTTTCAAATGACCAAGACTTTTCCAGATGAGACAAAAATGTGTATATTTTTCTAACCATGATCACTTTTGATATCTGTGTCACTTTGATACCTATAGGCATGTTCACAGAGCATGCAGACTCCTGAGCGGAGTGCTGATGATTTCAGGTACCATTATTTGTGGTAACTCAATGATGCCTCTGGTGAGGGGAGGCAAAATTTTTGGCATTTATACAAGTGTTTCCAGAGCTTGTGACAACTTTGGGAAGATTGGCTGCTCTTACATTTCCTATTTCTAATATTATTTATGGTCAGTCTCTTTCAGTTCAAAGATAAACAATCTTGAGCCAAATATCCACCCTCAGCTAACTTAAATAAAATGTTATACCTGTAGATTTCTTGTGTATCTCTGGATGATGACTTCAATTGGGTCTTGACTTACCAGGAAATACCAGTGTGCTTAAAAGTGCTTAAATGTATACACAATTCTTTTTTCCTGAAGCCAATGCCTGGCTCGGTGTCCTGCTGATCGAGCTAAATATCACTGGCTGAAAACTGCAGAGGAGAGAAAGATCTTGACTGCATGTCTGTGCAAGAGCAAAGTAATGTGGTTTCAGAAAGAGTTCCTGAGCCAAATGTGGGCAAAAGAAGTAAAGCTGCTGGTCAGGGAGCAATGTCCACAGGTAGGAGCAAGGTAAGGTGCCCTCTCTGCCCAGAAGTGCTACAGAAGCTCATCTGTAGGTGGAGTTGATTCAGGCATTACAGTGTTGCATTTCTTGGAGGTAATGGGAGAATCTTGTTTGGTGATGGTGAAGTGTTTTGGGTCTTTTGTTGCTTTTTTGTCGTTGATTTTTCTTTTTATTTGTTTTAAATGTGCACTTTACTGGAAAATCGGGGTGAAGAGGCTTCTTAGTTGCATCTTTAAAAGAATCAGCTGCTATGCAGGTGTGCAGTGTTGGGTTCTATGCGAGGAGTGATTCCTCTGTTCTGGGTTCGTATTTGATGCCTGCTTCAACAGAAGTAGTTTTCTTCTTCCCCCCCCCCATTCCCTCTTATCACCTGATACAGAGTGCTTGATTAGCTTTGGACCAGCTGCTGAGCTTGGAGTTCATACCTTGATTGCCTTTTTGACGGCAGTAGTATAATGAGATGTTAGAAGTCTCAGGCATTATAGTGCCTCTCTGGGGTGGTGCATGAACAGAGCCTTAAAAATTGTGTTCTGCAGCTTCAGGAAAGAGAAGTGCATCATTTCCTGTAGATGTGAATGAAGTGTTAACACCTGAGGAGCACTGGAAGCTCTACACTTAGAGCTGTCACACTGCTACCTGTGGTGTGTTTGGGGAGGGAGCAAGTACCAGCAGGCAGCAATTGCTGTTCCTGATCTGTATTGCCCAAGCTCTGCTGAACACTGATTTGGTTTTGAACAGGTACTCTTGAGTTGGCTTACAATCGGGTTGTGACAATGTCTGTGCAACACCAGCAGTGTTGGGGGGGATTTCCAAACATCTGTGGAAATCTGGGAGGAAAATAAAGGGGCAGATGAAGAGTTAAAATGGATTGCTCCATTTTGTGCAATGAACAGCAGCGTTTAAGTTATCCAAGGTACTAAAAGGAAAAGTTGATGGGGTGTTTTAAGAAGTAACTGAACACCATTGCTAACTGTAAGCAAAGTAGCATAAAGCAGAAACAGATGCCCAGGTGTCCAGCTGTAAGTGCTCAGGAATGAGACCCTGCAGTCTCCAAGGCCTTTCCTGAGCTGCTCAGTTTGCAGGAGCAGCCAATAAGGGAATGGGAGGCTGGGAGTTGTCAGTGAAGGAATAAAGGAGAAAAAATCAGGGGAAACGCAACTAAGCATGGAATGAACCTTTGCACCAGCAGCTGTGTGCCACAGCAGGAGCATGAGATGCTCCAGGCTTTGCTGGGGGTGTTTTCAGAGGCTCAAGAGATGTGAAGAGAGCGTGTGAACCAGGCTTCAAGCACATCTGTAATCCATGCACTGAAATCACAGAATCACAGAATTGTAGGGGTTGGAAGGGACCTCCAGAGATCACCGAGTCCAACCCCCCTGCCAAAGCAGGTTCCCTACAGCAGGTCGCACAGGTAGGCATCCAGGCAGGTCTTGAACATCTCCAGAGAAGGAGACTCCACCACCTCCCTGGGCAGCCTGTTCCAGTGCTCCGTCACCTCACTGTAAAGAAGTTCTTGTGCACATTTGTGCGGAACTTCCTATGCTGCAGTTTCCAGCCATTTCCCCTTGTCCTGTCTCCACTCACCACTGAAAAGAGTCCGGCCTCGCCATTCTGCCCCCCACACCTTAGATATTTATAGACCTGGATCAGGTCCCCTCTCAGTCTCCTTTTCTCAAGGCTGAACAGACCCAGTTCACTCAGCCTTTCCTCATAGGGGAGATGCTCCAGGCCCTTCACCATCTTTGTGGCCCTCCGCTGGACTCTTTCCAAGAGATCCCTGTCAATACAATGCTCGTTAAAGGCAAGGCCATGAGCAGCACCCAGGCAGCTTCGTGGGGTTTACTGTGTTCTCATAAATGACTTGGAAATGATCTCGCCTATTCTATCTCAATGGTTAATTTGTTTCTCCAGGGGAGCACTTGGATTTTCTTCAGCTGTACTGAACTTCTGCTGGGTGTTGTTTGGAGGGAAAAGGGCTTAATGGGGAGTAGGGATGGCTGCCAACATTGGGTGGATGGGGCTGCCCCGTGTGGGGTTTTATGAACTTCATAGTGTATGGTCTTGATTGAGTACTGAGAGCCTGAATGTCCATAGGGCTTCCCAGGTGTAGTTCCTCTTGCAGAGCAGGACCCAGCAAGAGCTGGATTGCTTGTCTGAGGATGTGCTGGGCGTGCTTTGCCCTCGAGCAACTCTTGCTTTGCTTTTTGGTGTGTGAAGCTCTGTCATCATCTGGTGCTGGACTGAAATGCCACTCACTGGCAATGATCTGACTGCAGTGTGCATCCCTCCCAGTGGGCACGGGGATGATTTGCTGCCTCGGGGGGTCTGGGCTCACTGCTCTCCCCGTCGCTCATTCAAGTTCTTGTATTTGTGTTGAAGGGTGAGCTGTAAGCTGACAGCTGTGCCCGCTCTGTGGCCACGTGGTAACCCAGGAACTGCAGGTAATGGTGCAACAGTGGAAACAGAATGTTGATTTACTGTGGTTTTCTTCGTACCCAGATTGCATTTGCTTGTGCACAGCACTTCTCTGTCTCCTGGTAATGTATTTCATGAAATTACAGTTGGGTCACAATGGACCTTAAAGCCCACCCAGTCCCAACTCCTGCCAGAGGCTGGTTGCCCCTTATTGGCTCAGGCTGCCCAGAGGAAATGATCATTTCCAGGGAGGAATATTTGAACTGTGAACCCCCATTTTCCTTAATGATTTCATCACAATTGGTTTTTCTGCTCACTGAGTTACAGCAGTAATTCACATCACTGTTAAGCTGCTACCAGATTTTTCCCTGAGGTTACTCAAACAGGACCTGAAACATGAAATTAGTCACAACTGCCTTCGTAGCAAAGGCTCTGTCATATTTTAATCTTTTCACTCTCTATTAGCTTGTCCAGAACCAACTTTATGAAACTACTTCTGTGGTGGGGACAGGATATTTATATGCATTTGGGGAAAAGTTAGAGCTTTCTAAAGGAAAAGCTTTTAATGTTAAAAATGGGGAGAAATACTTTGATACATTTCTTTTGTTCCCGAGTTCAAAGAGGAACACACACTGCCATGGGGGCCAGATTAAAGACTTAAGGTTATTAATTTCTCTGTGCATGTCTCTCTCTCCTGCTCTGCACCTCCTTCTGGCAGCAGCTGAAACAACCCACTTCAGCAGCACTGAGCTCCACAGGCTGGCACTCAGTGCCTCAGCAGAGGAGACCCAAGCTGAGGAGTGGTTACCCAGCTGGCTGCACATGAGGCCTTTTCAGCTGCTGCAATGAGGATGTTCTCAGCTCTGAGAGCTCCTGGTGAGCACTGCAGGACCACTTAGTGCTATGGCAGTGATACAGACACCAAACCTCTCTTCTCTGTACACTCCTTCTCCCTTCAGCCCCTTTTAACAAGGAAACTGGAATTACCAGTCCTGACAAGCATTTCAATCTCTTTATTTCCAATTGCGTTGCTCATCTGTGATACAAAAGTCCAGTTTCCACAAGTAGTTACTTAAAATAAAAAACCTGAATGATTTATACATAAGCAATGACACACATTTATAATGTGCAGTACAAGATGTGCAGCGTGGGGATGAGATTCAGCACAGATCATGCCAAGACGTAAACAAGCATGAAAGACAGAGGCTAGCTGATGGTTACAGTTTGGTGAGGCAGTACCTGCAGCTGTCTCAAAGCACAGAAGAATGACAATTCTTAGCAGCTGTGCATTTCTCATCCTCAGTCCCTTGTTTCAGCCTTGGTCCTTTTCCCTATTCATAGAACAGTTCTGAATTCATCAAATATGAAGCTAGGCACGTGTGCTTCAACGACCTAAAGAAAAGGAACTGGTCAGGTTCATTGTTCATTTATGTGTTCTGCTCTCCCATTAACACAGCATACTTCATCTACCACCGAGCACCCAACCCCAGTGACCTGAACAAGGAAGGAGCATGGCGCCACGCACGGAACGTAAAGCAAGCCCAGGGCTGTGGGAAGTTGTTGGGCCCGGAGGTACAGTGTAAGAGTGGAGGAATGCTGACATACTCTGCTGCTTCTCCAGCCAGCACCAGCAGCTGGCAGCTGGATACTGGGTGGGGTATGAGGGTAACACTGGAAAGCCTCCCTTTGAGCCCAAAGTACATCTAGGAATCAGCAAGTTTTCTGAACTAAGGTACAGACTAGATCAGAGAGGGTTATGACTTTTTATTTACATATGAGATTATAACTATTTCATCTTCAAATGCTGCTAAGTTGCACTTAATCCTACCAAAAAATCTCTCTACAAGCACAGACTTTCCTTGCGTGTGAAACAGAGAAGCTGCCTAGGAAGCCCTGCTTCTTTAGAAGGCAGGCAAGGGAAGGAAATGAAGGGCCAGAGACTCAGACTTTCTGAACAGCTCTCAGCCCTTAGAATATTGCTAAGCTTGTTATTATTTCATTCTGCAACATCTCACAACTTCAGTTTTATCTCTCCCTTTCCTGGAAGCCCCCCAGCAACAGACCTGAAGATTAAACAGAAACAAGCTATTCCTCCGGTTCTTTCAAAACAGAAATCCTTCCTGTGTTTTTCACCCTCTCTGACTTTTCTAGAAAAATACATTTACCATAAAGACACAAGGACTAATATGAAGATAGTTCACCAAGTACAGAAGTAACACAAGTTGTACAGAGCTCTAGGTTACACGGACTCAAAAAAATCCATTCTGCCCCACTCCTGTTAGGTAACAG